GCCCTCATAGGAGGTGTGTGGTTATGGGTGTGGAGAGGGTTGAAATTCTTCCCTCTTTTTTTTTTTTTTAAATTCTATCACTGGGTAGTCTTTTTATTCCATCCCGTGCTTCTTCCCCAAATTAGGTTGCTAAACCTTCAACTTTCCATCTTCCCGTCTACCGTTCAACCATGTAACTAGCAGGCATGTAACACCTTCTCCTAACCCTCAATTTCTGCATCCCTAAGAGGTAACTAACAATGGTTTTCGGCCAAGTGTGTTCGGTGCCTGGCAAAAAGGAACCATTCACTACATGCTAAGCCACCCAAGTCATTTCATAACTGGGAACAAAGAGGAACAGGGCCGGTCAAAGACAGACAGACAGTGGAGGCACATGTGGAACTTTTTCTCTGGACGCTGTATTTTAAAAAGCAAGCTCCCATTTGTTTAGCTCCCATTTCCTCAAGAGTATTTGGGTGAGTCTAAGCAGTAGAAAAAAAGTAAAACCAGGGGCAGGCCTGACCCATGTCCCCACCTATCAGGACACCCAGACGTAAAGCCTGGTACAGTATCTGGGACTGAGCCAAGGAAAAAAAAAAAAACCACCTCCACGTGTCAGTTGCTTACCTTGTCAGTGAAGGGAGACGCCATCATGCAGGAGTGGGACAGGCCACAAGGTCGGCCAAGGAGCAGACAAGACCACAATGAGGCAGGACATCTTTTGTGCCTTCTTGGACGGTGACCAGGGAATCCTTGGAATGCAATGGGTTTGGAGGTCTCGAAGAGGACCCTGAGGCTTTCACGACGACTTGGAAGACACCATAACTGGTGACCCCAGAGAAAACCAGAGCTGGACCCAGGGCTCCTGATCTCACCTCTCCCTCTAGCCCCTTCCCCCCACCATTGCTGGCTGTCAGACCCCACTTACTGGTAACAGAAAAATGTCTATTTCTCAATTCCTCTTTCAGCAAACAAGAGGTATGTGTTCACATAAAAGTCAAACGTTCCTTGTGATTGGCATATGAATCGAAAGTAGATCATCTGAGAAGTGGCTGCGTGGTGGGGAGATAGAGGGATAGATAGATGGAAGGTGCACTGGAAAGGCAGAGGCAAGTCATCTAATAGATGCAAGTCTTTAGAGGTCAGAGGGGACGGGTTTTGTGCAGTATGCACCAATCTAGTGAAAATAAGGAAGCTGCCAAGGGCTTTTGTGTTTGCCTTCTGTAAGCCTGTAGGTGTAGGTACATGCAAATCTGCTTGGGGGCACCAAGGCTAAAAGGAGAGTTGCAGAATTGTCAGCTGGGCAGGTCAGATGAACCTCTCCCACTTCCCAGTTTTGCTGTCCATCTGTTATCAGTGCAACCTCGTGTAGGGGAGGGCTTGCCGGAGGACTTAGCACCTGGCAGGATTCAGCTTCATAAGAAAGTGAAGGTTTCCTCCACCGACTCTCAGGTCATCCTAGAGGCAGGACAAGGGCCAGGAGCCCTCTCCCCCTGCCTCCTTGTCTGCCAGAGCTTGGCTACTCGCTTCCATCTGTTCTTTGACAAACGTGCCGCCTTGCTGGGTGATGTTGGGAGTGCGGACACACAAGACACACAGAGAAACGGCAGCCCTGTGCATATTTAACAATATATATTTATATATACTTTCTAGATCAGTACATTCAGTTTTTAACTTGCTTTTTCTTCACAAACAGAAGAACTCTTACAATAGTAGACTTTCTAAAATAAATACTATTAAAATAGAGCTTCAAAATAAATATTCTATACAAAGGAAACCTTCTGTGGTAACTTTTGATGTGGGGTGAGAAGGGGTTACAGTGAAGAGGGAAGATGTGCCAGGGTGGGACCCTTGAACAGCTTTTCTGTTTGTAACATGAAACCAAACCGTGGGGCAGTGAGAAAGCAGGATAAGACACCACACAGTTACCCACAGCAAAACAGGGCAGCGCGAGATTTGTCGTCACCTGTCACAGTAAGCAGAGGGCATGAAAATGCTCACCGAAGGCATGAACCAGAAGGTCAGTGAAGCTTGCGGGATGCCCTGGTGACTTGCGCGGTGCCAAGTCGTGCTGCCTACACCCCACCGGACATCCCCTGGGGCAGCACAGAGACCATGAAGGTGACGGGATGTGGATGCTGGTCCCAGCCCGCACTTTCCACACTTGGACTCATCATAATCTAACTGGGCCTCGCTCGATGCCCAACAGGGATGCACGCAGACTCCAGAACGCGTAAAGAACCAGATGCCATCACGTGATGGTCTTCCATCTCGGTCCGCTGTGAGGGGCCCATATCAATAGCAGGGAACTGGTCTTGACTCCTCCCAGCCATGGACCTTCAGGAGCCTTGGTTGTACCCCGTCTACCTGCGAGGGCTGGGCTCTCCTAGACCCAGTTCCCAGGGTGCCGGCTGGAGTGTTGGGCCTTCACAAACCCACCCTTGAGGGGAAGCAGCCTTGGCCCCTTAGGACAAGCATCCTGGACCCAGGTTTGTGGATCCCACCCCCGGTTCCAGGCAGAACCACCAGCCACCCCAGGTTGAAAAGAAGTGGGAAGCAGCTGGCACTTTTCAAAAAAAGGTCAACATGAGGCATAATCCAGCCAAGCAGGCCACTGGTGACAGGACACGCAACCAGCCAGAAGCAGCCACAGAAATGTGTCGTGTTTCTGAGAGCTTGGTCCCTCAGTGGCCCTTGACTGGCCCCCGGGGGCCACGGGCAAGCCAGTTTTATTTTTTCTTTTTGCCAAGGAAAACATGCTGAGGGATAGCTATGCAACAAAGCTGGGTGAACCGAAGCTGAGCACACAGGACAGAGTTCTGCAGACATCCATCTAGCAGGCTAGATGCAAACCAAAAAGAACAAGCCAAAACAGGGGGAAGGGAAAAAAGAAAGCCAAAACCCAGAAAAATCCATGTTTATAACTATATACACAAAAAGTCAGGGTTCAGGAGGCTGTTTGCCAGGTAACAGGGTCTATGTAGAGACGGTGGGGTAGGGGTATATGTATGTATGTATGTATGTATGTATGTATGTATGTATGTATGTGTGTGTGTGTGTGCACAGCTCATGTAAGTCAATTCTCCACAGAATGTGCGTGTAGAACTCCAAAGATCACCAAAGTGCAACTTGCCACTGGGTCAAGTTTCCCATGGAGACATTTGAGGGAGGGGCTTTGGGAAAAGTTCTGAGGTCTCACCAAGCGAGGACGTGTGCCCTCTTTTTTGGGGTAACCTCTGCACACCTGTTCTGAGAAAACATCTCCAGTCCCTTCAGTACACATCTGATACATTCAATTAGGATAAGTGGTTGGCTGAATGTGTTTTTTCTACCATTCCCTCTGATTTGTGCAAGAACATCCATACATCCATCACGACTGTGGCAAAGGTAGCTACAGGAATCAGCCTTAGAAAACGCAGATGCAGTATTTCATATTTGCCTTTTACAAGCCAGCATATGTTATATAAATAAAGCCTAAAATAATAAGACCCTCCCCTCCTTTCCACCAGTCAATAAATACCTACGGTTACAATTAACTTATTCTAAATCATAAGATGTTACTACTAGTCTTCAAGAAGGAAAAAAAAAAAAAAGTCCTTGAGAAGCACTGGGTGCATGACCATCGCAGCTACCTGCCTCCTTGCCTCCTTCCTGGAGGCTGTTCTGTTCCTACAGAACAAACTGGAAATGCTACAAACGCTGTGCCTAGTGCACTTCCGATATCACCTGGGGTAGCTTTTCTGACCCAGACTACTTTCTCTCATGGGGGGAAGAGAGGGAGGCACAAATTACCACACTAAGCAAAAACCCCGCACAATAGCTAGGGAGGAAGGACCGGACACACTACAGCTTTTGCATGCAACAAGTACCTACCCACCGGACGAGCTGCACTTTCTGAGTCCTTTAGCACCTTGAGAGAAAGAGTTGCTACGTCTTTGGGGGCTGTTGGGAGGGGCTCATTGTAGCCACGCACAGAAGCAGGGCTCAATCCCAAGAAGCCCCCGGAGAATCTTTCCCCCACCCGCATTCTTCTGACTCCCCCGCCAGGGCTTCCTAACACTAAAATAGACTCTTTTTTCATCATCTATTTACATTAAAGATACAGACACTGTACACAAAAGGCTATGACAGCAAGCAGCAGAATCAAGAGAGAAGAAACCCACACCCAGCTCGCCTCAACTCTCACTCTGCCAATGGGAGGTGCTGCCTCTCTTCTTTGCTGTTAAAATCCTCTTCTTGGTGGGGAGGGGGATTGTGTTCCTTGAGGTTGCTCGCCCCCCAGATTTTGAAATCAGCCCTTCCTGGGGGTGGCCCAAAAGGAAGCAAGTGTTTTACTATTATTTCTTAGAACACCGTTAGCATCTGGTTTAATGCTTCTATAAAAACATAATGACTGGATCCAGAGACCACAGCCTCAGACTCATTGGCAAAATGCTATTTGGTCTCGAATTTGCCGCCCTGGCCTTCTCTACCCATAAAGTTTCTGGAAAAGATCTGGGTAGAGAGAACTTGGGACACGTAGCGGGCGGGTGAGTCTGTGACCCAGTAAGAGCCGAAGGACGGTTTTATGAGTGGAACACCCCCAAGAGTTAGTGAGGAAGCTGGAAGGGAGAAAAGGTACTGTGCAGTGGTTCCTAGATCCATCCGTGGCTCCGGGCAGAGCGAGGAACAAGGGGGCTCCCAAGTATATACAACAGGGATCGCCAGGGTCTACACCTTCCCCAAGATGTCGGGGCAAACCGGGGTAGAGGCTGGGAGAAGAAGGTATAGACGGCAAAACTCCAAGGGTCTTCTTCCAAGGTCCCCTGGCCGCTCAGTTACCGATTCCTCCCAGGCAGCCAGAGAGAATGCAGAAGAGCGGGGAGAGAGGGAGGGAGGAGGAGGGCTGGGAAGGCATTCAAGCAGCTGCAACTTCCGGATATGTGTCCACATCTGTGTTCCATCTTCTGAAAAAGAAAAATCGCCCCCAAACCACACCACGCCCCTGCCACTATCTGTTTCATACAAGTTCCAGGACCCTGAAAAAAAAAACCAAAAAAACCCAAAGTGCTTCTTCATCCTTTTGGGGAAGAGAAGGATGGGCGATTGTGGTCTCTGTTTCTTCAGAAGCTGGGGGTAGGGAGTGGGCAGACTGGCAGGGTCAGCCTGAGGATGCTAAAACCTCTGGCCTCGCTGTGGTGGCCCCCTCTCAGGTGTGAGAAGGGAACCAAGTTTCCAGGGGGAAGCGCCGGGACTTGACCCCAGGTGTCAGAAAGGCTTGTCGGGTCTGCTGGCCTTGGCGTCCCCGGCGGCTGCCTTGCAGATGACGCTGTTCGTGTGCTTGCAGCGGCATCCTGGGCGGCGCAGGCGGTCATAGCCGCGCTGCGCCAGCTTCACGCAGCCGGTGGCGGGCAGGTAGCAGAGCAGGCAGGGCAGCACCAGGGAGAGGGCGCCCATGAAGGACCAGCGGGCGCAGCAGTTTGAGTGCGAGCAGGAGCAGGGGTGGTCGGCGCAGGAGCCCTCATCGTCCTCGTTGGTGCAGTGGTAGAAGACGCCCTGCACCAGGCACATGCAGGTGCCATAGTTGACCAGCGTCTGGGCGGAGCACAGGCACTCCTGGTTGCAGACCCAGCAGGAGGGCAACGTCCGGGGGGACGCGCACTCCTTGCACTTACACTTCCCGCAGGCCTCGCACAGCAAGAAGTGCTTGTCCAGCTCTGGGGGGACGGCCGGGCCCTTGAGGTCCAGTGGCTTGCAGTGGATGGCCTTGGGCTGGATGCGCACGGCCCTCGGGGAGGCCTGGTCAGCCACGGGCGGGGGGGCCATGTGGTCTAGGAGGCGCTGGTCAGAGGACGTACTGCTGCTGCTGCTCACAGAGCTGGGGCGCCCGCTGAAGGAGATCCAGTGGTGGGTGATGTCCTGGTCACAGCGGGCGGGTGTCAGGGCCAGCTCTGGGGCTGCACCCCGGGTCCGCTTGGGGCCGGTGGGGGGTGCCAGGCCAGGATTGTCGATGTAGTCGTTCTCCACGTGGCTGGTCTTCATCTGGTCGATGGGGAGAATGGTGAGGGGGTGCTGGAGCCGGCCGTGGGCCATACGGCTGTCCAGAAGGGGCTGGACCATGACTGAGCTGGGAGTCAAGGGGACGCTCTGTGGGATCGGGGGCTCCATGGGGCCAGAGGTCCTGGGCTGTGCAGAGAAGCAGGCTTCTAGGGGCCCTGGAGTCGGGGGCGGAAGAGAGAATGGATTCCAGGCATCAGTATGTGGCCTGTTAACACCCCCCACCACCCCCACCCCCGTCAGGTCCTTGGGAGCCCAAATGAAATGGGAACTGGAATTCCTTTGGTAGACTCTCCAGCATTATGGCTTAGATGAGTAATAATGACAGCAACAACAACAATAGTTAAGTGGCAGAAATAACTTATTTAGTACTTACTATGTGCCAGGGACTCTTCTAAGCACCATATTTATTACGTCATTGACTCTTCACAATAAACCTAAAATGTAACTACTATTATTATCCCTTTTCTAGTTACAGGAAACTAATGTTCAAAGTAACTTGTCCACAGTCACACAAAACCATCAGTAGCAGAACTAGGGCTCAAAGCTGTGCCGTCCGAGTTCATTCTTATAACCCCCATGAAACATGCTCCTGATTTAAGACAGATACAGCTTAGCAGTTATAAACACAGGTTCCGGAATCAGATCCAAGTTCAAATTCTCACCTCTGCCTAGCAGCGTTACTGTGAATGAGGTTCTTTAACCTCTATGCCTTAGTATTTTCATCTGTAAAATGGGTTCTTGTGAGGACTAAATGAGAAAATGCATATCTAGGACCTAGCATTTTGCCTGACACACAGCACATACTCTAATTTATCACCATCCCAGAGAGCAATAGTTTAGATTTCCTGAGCACTAATAAGCACGAGTGTTAAGTACCAAGCGATGTGCTGCGTGCTGAGGATGTGGTGACCATGACAGACAGTCCCTGTATGCTCCCATGTAGTTTATCAGCTGGATAAACAAAAGCCTTTATTTCAGGTAATCACAAGAGAAGGAAGAGCTGTATCTGATGCCTGCACATCCAGGATATTAACTTATTACCACTACTTCTGAGAGCAGCAACATCTAGTGGCTAATAACCCCTGGGTAGGTGCACCTCTGACAACTTGGATGGGAAATCCTCCCGAGGGGCACTCACATCACCCATTGCCAAGTGCTGAGCTGAACATTCAGCCTAAATGCTATTTACTAGAAGAGCTAAGCCAACCCTGGATCAGTTTCTAATTTCACCGAGAGAGTGCAATTTTAAGTTGGAATCCGGCCAGAGATTCAACTGCAGTGCCTGACACGGAACCCCAGGAAGTCACTTAAATCAAAGAGCGGAAACGGCTTGGTTCAAATTTAGAAAGTGCACATTGTTTTCTATTAGAAGTGCCATTTCCTCGCCTGCTGACCTTTACATTCAGAATTCGGCTGGAGATCAATTTAAAGAAATAGCAACAGAGGCCAAGACCTCTGCCCAAGGGGGCACGATTTGGAATCCCAGAGAAAGATTAGACTCTGGGAAGATTTCACCGGGCTTGGGAGTGGGGGACACAACAGATAGCCAGGGTTCGGATAAAAGGGAAAGATAACCACCTTTGGGGGGGTGGGGGAAGACCATTGGATTAACGTGCTACGGGATTGGGTTTTGGTAAATGCTTTTTCAAGACGCTAATGATGTTCTGATTTGGAGAGCTGACCCTGTACCTCCGTTATTAGGTTCACCTTCCCTCAAAGGTGATGCTTAAGAAGGGGATGTGGATAGGTTTCCACTTCCAGTTCTAATCCTGTATCCCTCCAGACTTGGGACACAGCTGGTCATCCCAGTATTCCAATCACAGGAGAATGACACCTGCCCCGAGTGACACATCCATACTTATCAATGTCTCTATAGTAAAGAATGAAGAGAGAAAAAAAAGGCATTCAGGGCAACTCTGTATTATACTTCCCCTGCCTGGAAACAAGTTTGATCAGAAATGGTTAAATTGGGGAAGGGCCTCTTTAGATGCTTTCCAGCCTGTCTGAAATAAAGAGCTAGGTCTAGATGCGAAGTTCATGAAGTGGATGAAAGGGAGCTTATCCACAAGGTTCTCATCTGTATACTGCAAGGAAAAAACCATTAAGTCTTTTCTGCAAGGTTCATTGCTCAGTCAACTGATATTTCCCCTTCGCAAAGCCATGAACTATGGGCTCATGAACAAGGGCTCTGCTCCCACAGTCCTATCTACTTAAGAGAGATTTCTGTGCACAGCTTCTCCCATCTCAGAGGATGTCTGCCTAGAGGTAGCCTGCCTCCTGCCTCTGTGTTCCCTCCACATGTCAGGAGAGCATCGTCTTCAAAGAAGAGACTTCCAGAAGAGACTTCCTTGTGGCAGAGTTAGACTTAAGTGTCTGGCAGGTCTGCCACCAAGAAATAGCCATCTGCCAAGGCAGCCTCCTTTGGGGATCCTGGGGTCAGGGCTGGATGGGGGGGGGGGGTGTTAGTTAAGCATTCAGAGAGAGGAGTTTTTCCAAGGATCAAGTTGGCCATGGGGCAGAACTTCAGGGGATGCTACCTCAGCCCACTTTATTCTTTGCAGGCACTCCAAAGCCTTGCTTCTAGAATAAGTGGGTTTGGGGTCAAGAGAAGGTTAGGAGCCACGGGTCCCAGACCTTTGCCTGGAGGAAAAGGTGTGACTAGGCAGAAGAATGGAAAATGCTGACAGAGGCACAGGAGACGACTCTGGCGCCAGCCAAGAGGTGCCTCAGCCAGAACCCCCCAACCAGGACAAAGACAACACGATTCCCTTATTCCAGAAGCTCAGGGTCCTGCCAACAGAACGTCAGTGGTGGTTTGAAGGTTGTATTGCCCCATGTAATTGGGCTTTTTGCCTCTTAGGACTAGGATTGGGACTGGCCATGCTGTGGGTACTCCCTCCCCTATACAGTTTATCCACTCTCCTTCCCCTGGTTCTATTCCTGGGGTTCTATAAGAACGGGCGCACTTTCTATGGAGGAAGCAAAAGGCATGGGCAGTGCTTGGGGATTTTAATAGGCCCTGGAATCACAAGGCAGATTCATGGAAAAAGTCCCATGGAAAAGTCCCACCAGGAAGCCAGGGTGGGAGCAGCGCCTGCAGGCGATGGGGATATTGGCATTAGCAGGCTCCCATCACTCTCCAGAGGCAGCTGTCAACATCTGGGCCTGCACTCAGGGCCAGACATGGGGGTGGGAGCTCAGTCCACGATGACTCAGCTCTCTTGGGACATGCTGCATCCAAGATGGCTCCAGCAGGCATATTCTAAAATGCATCTTCCCTATCATAACTCTGATGGAAGATGCCTTCCGGCCACCAGGGGCTCGGAGTTGTACCACTCCAACCTTCTCAGGCTTCATGGCCTCACCTCCCAATTAGCCGGGACCCTCCGCAGGAGGGTGGAATTCATTTGGCTGACAAGAAAAACAACTTCCCGATAGCCTGTTTGATAACCCCTCAACACAGCTAAACGGTGTCTCAAACCCCCCCACCCCAAGTCCTCGGCTTAGAAGATTGATCCCTACTCACTGGGACACACCCACCCTCCAGTCTGAGCAACGCTGCCGAACTTAAGTGCAGTTTAATATGTACTCTGCTTCCCCTGCAAGGAAGGAAGAGATTTATAATACAAATAGGAGAGAGGAGGCTTTGCCTCATTTAGGCTGTTTGGGAGACTGATGGCCAATTTGGAAGACTGTGGACAGAGAAACAAAGCCAGCAGTCCACTTAGCCAGAGACGCACCTCTATCGAATTTTCGGTTGCAGCCTTATGGATTAGCATGAGGAAGGGAAACTTTTACCTCCGTTCCAACCTTCTAATAATAATAATTAATAATTAGGGGAGGGCTTCCCTGGTGGCGCAGTGGTTGAGAGTCCGCCTGCCGATGCAGGGGACATGGGTTCGTGCCCCAGTCCGGGAAGATCCCATGTGCCACGGAGCAGCTGGGCCCGTGAGCCATGGCCGCTGAGACTGCGCGTCCGGAGCCTGTGCTCCACAACGGGAGAGACAGCAACAGTGAGAAGCCCGCATACCGCAAAAAAAAAAAAAAAAAAAAAAATTAGGGGAGCAGCAAGCATTTATGAAACATTTCTTGGTGTCAAGCTCTGTGCTAAATTCTCAATGATTTTCTCCTTCAATCCTCACCATCCCCTTGGAGGATAATACCCATTTTGCAGAGGAAGAACAAAGGGTCATAGAGCAGGCAAGTGGTCAGGGCAGGATTCGAACCCAGGCAGCAGAGGCTCCAGAGGCTGCAACTTCAGCCCTGAGACCCTGACTTGCAATAACTCCTGGGTATTCATGGAAGGGCACGGAAGCACCCTTCTCTCTTATAGCCATGAACTCCGCCAGTCTCCCAGGTCTGCCACCAGCCCTCAGGGAACCTCATTGGGCCATCTTCGGGTTCTTACCCAACCAGCCTGGAAATGAAGCCAGACAGGGCTGACATCAGACTAGCCCCCAGTTAGGGGAATTTTCAGTGTGGAAAGCAGAGGCTGGGGGGTTGAAATCTGTCATTAAAGGAAGGGTCAGAGCGCAAGACATCTTCACTTCCGTTTTCTTTGGCATCCCTTTTGTCACCTCACACACCCCCATTTTTCTAAGAGTTTTCATTTTTAGTTTTCTTAAGGTTGAATGGGTCTCATTTGTAGGATCTCACCACAAAGCAGTCCCTAAAAGGAAAGCCTAGAGTGGGCGGGAATCCCGTCTCCTCCCACCTATAAAGTTGAACTTAAGGGTCCCTAGGGCACGTTCATGGATGCGGCTTCCTGGTCCAGGTCTGTGGGGAAGGGAAGGAGGAGCTAGGGTAAAAGGAAGGCAGAAGAAGAGAGTCCTAGAATACTGAATCAGCAGGATATCGAAAAGCCCAGAGCACACTGTCCTGTATTTGCGGCTTCGTCTGTGAGCCTGACATTGCATGTGTACCTGTGGGGAGGGGCTGAGCATCAAGGCGGCAGACAGCTCAATGCAGGCTGGCTGGAAAGAATCAAGAGGCATGTTAAATGTCTGTTCCACCCATCCACCCCTTCCCCTGGACTTATCCCAGGGAGAGGAGTTGGGAAATATTAGGAAAACCTGACAGTTGTACTTTGAAAACTACAGGTCAGCTAATGCCAAACTGGCAAGGGGCTCTGAATGAAAGGGTAGTTTCTGCACTGCCCCATTCAGTCCCAGCAGGTGCCTTCAGGGAAGGCTGTTTAAGCCTTTAACAGCTCAGAGAAAAAGGTCTCTAGGCTTCATGAGAGCCCGCCCACCACTATCTACCACTCTCGCTTGGGTTCTTTGGGACAACACTCCAGTTTAGTTCATTAAGCTCCAACTAAATAATGACTTATTGCTTCAAAAAGACTTTTTAAAGGGGGGGAAGAGGGATGAGGGAAGCCAGGGACTTGCCTTCCCTACACCCCACTGAGGGGAACAATCTCTTCTGCAAATAAAGCATTTAGGCAGCTGGATTTGCCTGAGAAACCTTGTTCCTCCCTGCCACCCACCACTAGCACTAAGGAGCTGACCTCTGGTCATAACCTGTCAGAGATCACAAAAGCAGCTGCCTTTCCTCACGTTGTCCCATCCCCAGTTATCAGTTCCCAACCCTTTTCTCTTCTTTTTCCACAACCAGCTGAGCTCCAAAGCCCCGGTGCTAGGGTGAGTGGGAGAGGTCTTGCTGTACTTGGCTCTGGGCTATTCTAACCGGCTACAAATTTTGGCTTCGATGTATTCCCCTCTGAATTGTTGTCTGCTCAGATCCCCTTAAAGAGGGATCAGAAGTCAAGAGTGAGAAAAGAATGGGGCTAGAAGTCTGTTAACTACTGGTACAGTTGGGGAACCACTGGCCCACATCAAAGTTTGGGATGGGGCACCAGAAATCTAAACCCCAGGGGAGGACCCCCCCCCCCTCACTGACACCAAGATCATTTTATTTGTCCACTAAGAATTGGACTTACAATAATAGACGTTAGCTTACTCCTGGGATGGGGCAGGAAATGACTCCTCCTTCCCCCCAACCAGAAAGAGACAAGGGAAACCACTTTTCTGCAAACGGCCACCTGCCCCAGAAGGGCCCCTTCCCTCCTCCGTGAGATCCAGCACATCTGTGCTCCCTCCCCGGTGCCCTTGCTTCCTCCACCGACTGTCCTTGGAAAGAACAATCGTGATCACAGCTGAACGGTGGAGCCTCTTAAACCCAGCCACATGTCCCGGATACATCCCCAGCCTTGTCAGCTGTCCGGATCTGCAGGGTGGCCCCAGGCCCCCTCGAGAGCTAAGCATCCTTCGCCTCTTACATCACACAGCACCCCACATCTCCTGTGGAGGAAGGGGCTCCCTTACAACCAAGCCCTCCTTACTAGGCACCCAGTAGTAACAAGGGGCACAGCCCCAGCCCTGCACACTTGCTAGCTGCTCAGCTGGCCCTGGCCCCTTGGGAGGAGTTTCTTCTCCCCACTCTGCAGATGGGGAGACTAAGGCCCAAGCTTAGCACATTTCCTAGCCCTTATCTGCTTTGACCCAGCCCCTACCTTGGTCTGGAAGAGGTAATACAGTCTTCGGTTATGTTGCCCTTCATCACCTTCTTCCTTTGGCTCTTTTGAGAGAGTAAAAATATATTCCAATGAGTCATTGCTTTCCCTTCTGTCAGGTAGATCCAAGTTGACCATGAGATGGAACCTTCTCCACTCTTGCCATGTCGACATCCTAAATCCAAATTTTTTTATTCTATCCCTAGATCCAGAGGCTTTCCTCACAAGGGAACTTCCACCTCAGTAGGGCCCAGATGACAGACAACTCTGGATGCAGAACCACATTGAAAGCCGTAACTTTCTAAGAACACTGACCTTCTTCTCTGAAGAGAAGGGGCTCCTCTCTAATAAGCCTCCCGGTACCATCACCCGGGCCCTACCCAAGAGGATGGACCGGGGAAAGAAAAATACTCGTGGGGGCCGGAAGACGTCACATGAAGGGACTAATAGCATTAGACATTGGAACAGAATCCCACACAAAGGATTTATACTTTGGTGATACCAAAGTATTAAACCCCAGAGCAACACACCTCAGGGCCATTTCTGAAGGTGTTAATGGGTGTTTTTTCCTCCCTTAGTTTTAAAATCACTGACTTTCAAATTCTGCACTGAAAGGCTGCCTTCATTTGTTTTTCAAGTCAGCCAAACCTCTGGGCAGGGGCAATGTCAGGTTTACCAGAGTGGGGGGGTGGAGTTCCAAAGAGCCCATCTCTCCACCTATTCTGGAAGGATGAAAACAAAAATGACATCTGTGAGCTCCAAATGCCCCCAGCCTCTGCCCTGCTTTAACCGGGAATCATACTATTCCATGTGATCAGTCTCTGCCCACTTCACCCTACCAAAGCTTTAAGGAGATGTTGCCATTTCAGAGAGTAATTTGGTAAAGGTCATGGGAATGAGCAGGAGAGCACTTACTCTAGAGTTCAGAATCTACGAAGGAAGATAACCAAGAGACATCTTTAAAGTCTTCCTCATCAAGCTGACCAACATTTGTCCATCAAGGAGATTTTAGAAATCTGCCACCAAAATGCCCCCTACCCAGTACTGGCCACGCAGCTCAGTTGGTCAGGATGTGCACTGCTCATATTAGAATTCGCCTGGAGCCTTCTGGCAAGTGAGGACCCTCCCAAGGGCTAGGAAAGACAGAAAATTTGATTTCACACTGGACACATCTACAACTTCTTTCCCACCCTTCTGCTGAAAAACAGAGAAGGAGACAGAAAAGAGAGAGGGAGAAAGAGAGGGCTGGGGGTGGGGGGGTGGGGAGAGAGAGAGAGGTAGGTGTGGGGGGCATTGTCAATGGCTGCCCTCCCTTTCCGAGTCCTCCCCACACCCACACACTAAGGGAAGAACTGAAACTTTCAGATGTTTATGCTCCATTCGTATGAAGATCCCGGGGAACGCTAAACATTGTGAAATCACCAGTGCAATATTGGGTAGGGCCTCAGGCCAGACAGCGCTTATTAAGAGACTGATAAACCCACATCTCCTAAATGCTCTGGGCCTTCACCTGCCAGCTTTGTATCCCCCAAGAGGCTCAGAGAGACTGGAGAGCCTTGGTCAGCTAACCAGACAGAGATGCACTTGCTCTCACCCCTCCCCAAACTGGAGAGAATCATGCCACTGGTTTGGAAGCAGGAAAGAGGGGGTTCACACTGGGTCTGGGCACCCCACCGAACCCACAACCTTCCTTTCATCGCGAATCATGCTGGGGTTGGGGTGGGGGAAGTGGTCTCTGAGCCTTGATGAGCCAGAAGGCAGCCTTCTGCCCTCATCCAGGCCTGGCAATATGGATACCCATCCAGCAGCCGGTACAAGAGGCAGCCAGCAGCTCTTCCCTCTGCCCACCATCCAGCCCCTCCAGCCCAGTTCGCTTCTCCCGTCCATCGCTCAGCCCATCAAGCCATGCAACCATTTTCCGCCTCTCCTGCCTCCTCTGCCCACAACCCCCAGCCCCCAATCAAAGAAAATTGAGAAACCGTCTTCTTGCACAAGAGCAGCTACTGTCTAAATGCTTTTTGATCGTCTGTATGGAGGGGAAACTGGCCAAAGCCCTGCTCCCAGTGATGGAGCCAAGCTCCAGCTGTCCTGGCTGACCAAATTTGCCCTCACCCCCCTTCATTGCCCCCATAGGCTTGGCGATTCAAAATTTTCAGAACGTACCGTCTCTATCCTTCTCTCTTCTCGGTGATGTCAAGCCTGGTACCACCAAGAAGGAAGGAGAGAGAAAGCGGGAGCCTTATCTCTCCTACGCACGCAGCCTCTTCCTCCAGCTCCCACACGCCCGGCGTTATGGAAACGCACCTTCAGCCCCTACCACAGCCCCAGCGCGGCCCGGGGGCCCCGGGACCTGGCACAGCTCGGTGCCCGGAGATAGGGAGGCACGAGGAGGCCGAGGAGCCTCGGGCCCTGCAGAGGCCGGGGAAGAAAAAGGCAACTGCAAGGCAGCTGGCACAGCATAAAATGCGGCAGCAGAGCAAAGGTCAGACGGCAAGGAACCGCCTCGCCAAAGAGAGAGAGAGAGCAGAAATGCCCAGTCCCGGCCAGCCCCGCTCTGACCATCGAGGGGAAGGCAGAAGGGAAGAAAATCCAGTCCCTCACGGCTCCGAAGGGCAAAGAAAAACCTACGTCGAGCATAGGCCGCTGCGGCGGGCTGGGGAGATCTACGGCAGAGCTGGCACCGTGGGCAGCGAGCCCGGGGTGGGCGAGCCGCCCAGGGCGAGGGCGCCCGCCGGACCCAAGAGGTGGCTCCTGACGGAGCGTAGAGCCGCCTGTTACAGCGCCCGAGGCCGGTGGTGGCAGGGGGAAAAAGGCCAGGCCAGAAGCAAACTCCCGGGACACGCACGGAGCTTCCGAGTCGTAGAGAGTGGGGAAGCTGTGCTTGGCAGTGCCCGGGGGTCGGGAACGCCGGTGCCAAGCTGTGAACACCCCCGGCGCCTTGCCGGCCCACCCGAGGGCGTCAGGGAGCTGCGGCGCACCGCAGCGGCTCCAGGAGGCGCAGGGAGAGGGAAGGAACACTGAGGCGCGCCTAGAAATAGCGCACCATTTGCCCCCAGCCCGAGGGGGAGTCGCGTCGCGACTCAGAGAGGGGCAGCTTCACATCCCGAAGCCGGCCGGGAACTTACTTTGAGGAGCCGCAGAGTCACAAGCATTGCTCCACGTCTGTGTGAATTCCCGAACCCGAGTGGGTCTGACGCCGCTGTCCTCACAGACGCCGGCCGGAGGAACCGGCACTGCTCCCTGCGCTGCTCAGCGCCAGCACCGCGCTGTCAGCCCCTCTCGCTGCCTCCGCGGCGATGTTGCAACCACTGCCTGGGAAAATGGCTTTTTTATGAATGGGAGGGAAGGGAGCTCCTGTGCGCACGCGCGCAGTTCGCGATTCTATGAATGGGTGGGCACAAGAGACCCCGCGCGCGCATGCGCCGCGCTCCTTTTTTTATGAATGGGGGGCCGGAAAAGAACTTAACCCGTGATTGCTGGGGCTGGCTCTCGCTCCTCCAGGGGCCGTTGTTATTTTACAAAGAGGGGTGGAGGTTGTTGTTGCCTTTTTTTTTTTTTCCTTTATGAATGGAGGGCGGCGGCGACTGCTGCAGCTGGCTCAGCTGCGCGGGCTGTACCCCCTCCCAGCCTGCGAGAGGAGGTAAAGGCCACCTTCACGCCACTGCGGGCCTGGGCTGGAACCGTCAGTGTTGCTGGGGGGCGGGGGGGCACTGCGGCCTCAGGATCCTGGGCTGAGAGCTGGGTGGGGGAGGACACACCTAGATCTAGGGATTTCTACCCGCCGCAGGCAGTCGGGAGGGCGGGGTAACGGGAAGACCCCTGCTGAGGGCCTTCTCTTGCTCTAGACTAGGGGCGTCGGGGGGCGAGGGGTCTTGAAGCTGTGTTTACCAAAAATTAAGAAAATGTCAAACGTCCATATCAAAGAAGGGCGGAGTGGGGATTGCTGAGTGAATCTGGTTCCTTTCCTGACGCTGAGTCTCCCTTGAGTAAGCGCAGACCACCCCTCCCCCCATTTCTTGGGTGTGGACAGCGACTGGGCCTAGGCCTCTTCCGGCTCTAGTACCCCCCAGGGTGATACTGGCTACTCAGCTAGAGACCTGGCTCTCGCCTGGCAGCGCCCCCTTCCCCCCCACTCCAGGGTAATGTCCGCAGTGCTCCGGCGTCCGCCCGCCCTCAGCTGCCCTGGCTAGTGCTCCCCTCTCCGTGCGTTTCCCAGCCCTCACGGGACGCGGGCCGGAGGACCCTGTGTCCTCCGAAGGCCACAGCCCTTTGCTGCTGTAGGCGCCTCTCCCCAGCCACCCCTACTTGCGCCCCTCCGGGGAAGCGGGAGCGGCCGAGAATTGGCCAGGTGGATGGGTGGAGCCGTCCGCGCCGAGGATGCTGCCGGGGTGGCCACGGGATTAAATAACAACAGAGCTCTTGAGCCGCAGAGGAAATGGAAATGGCCAGGATCTTTTCTTTGCAGTTAATGATGGGGCGGCGGGGGCGGGGGGAGCGCATCAACCCTGGGCGGTGAAAAGAAAAGCCCCCGCCATTAGGCCTGACTCCGGGAAGGCGGGGAGCCCTCGCAGCAGGCCCAGCTCCGCCCAGGAACGAAGGAGGCTGTAGCCTCCGGGGAGTCCGGGGTAGGGGGTGGCTTTGATGCGGGGATAAGAGCTGGGCCAGGGTCTGAATCCCCTGTAAGGTTTGTCTTGATGGTGTTTTCGCTTCACGGGGAGGTTGTGAGGCAGGTTTTTTCTTCCTACGCCACCATAGATCTGTGCTTGGCTGTTGTCAAGGGAGCCGATGAAAGGCTTCCAGCCCAGGCCAGAGGTCTGGCCTTGGGCTGGATCTGGGGCTGGGGCTGGTGCTGGCGCTCTGGAGACAGGCAGAGGGAGAGACATTTTGCAAACCCAGACCAGAACCCAAGGTCACCGAGTCCAGGCTAAAATGGCTTCTCGCTACTCAAACGCACCTTTGCAGTGTGATTTCCTTACTCAGCTCCTGGGGGCAGAGCAGGCTCTCCCCCTACGAAAGCTCAGTCTTCCTTTTAGGGCCAAGACCTTACTTAATGCCAAGAGAAAAACTCTTTACTAGGACAATAGAGTATTTTACAGTTGTTCAGGTCTTCCCTTTACAGGCATCCAAGCTCAATATCATTATTCCTATTTGTCAGATGTAGAAATTGAGGCCAAGGGTCCTGCACCTGATAAATGAAAGATCTAATAAATGGTGGTGCTGATTTTCTAGATCTTTGCAACCCGGATCTTTCTACTTTGCTACCACCCCATCTTCATATCACAAGCCTAAAAACTTGTTTCTTGCAAGTCACTTAATCGTGTTAAACAAGGAAAGTTGGAGCAGTGATTTTCCAGCCAGTGGTTGCTCATGGGCCTTGCTGGAAAAAGTAAAAGGATGGGAATAAGGAAATCCTTTCTAAACTATGGAAGAAAGTCAAGATGAGTTAGGGGGTGGCTGTCCTGTGTCCTTAATTAGAGGAATTAGCCAAGAGACAGTGTTCCTTCCATTCCTGGTCTGTTCTCAGCTTTCCTGAAAGAGAAGTGAGGAGACCCCAGCTCTGGTGGGGCTCCATGAAGGAGCCCCCCATCCTGAGCTGGGAGGAGTCTCTGATGCCTGAGCAGACTGTGACTCGGTGTCTGGGAGGGCACTGGGGACCATATTCCACTCTTCCTTGGAACCTAAAGAGAGGAGAGGTTTGGGGGTAACTGTTATGAGAAATCCATCCATCCATCCATCCAGTCAGTCATTCATATATTCTGCCCTGGGGCCTGCCCTGACTCTGAGGCCTTGGTGGTGAGAGACAGACAGCCCTCCCTGCCCTAGTGAAGCTCACAATTTGGGGGGAAGACAGACTATGCAGTTTGAGTCTATGATAAGTGCTAGGAGGGAGATGGAAGCAGGATCTGAGGGTATGGGGAGAGCTGCGAAGGACCTGATTTTAATTTGGGCACCAGGGGGTCTCTTTCTGACAGGGGGCTGTGGTTATGAGTTGAGACTTGGAGACTGGGAAGGCGTGACCTGAAGGAGGATGAGGGGACAGGTTGGGAAGCATCTGCATGAGGAAAGGCTGATGTGAAGGTGCCTGTGGGGAGGCATCTCTGTGGCCGACACCCTCTGGTTGTTTGTGTTTTAATCCTGTCTGCAGCCCAGGGGCCAGAGGTTGGGGGAGAGGGGGCAGAGTGAAAGATGGTGGGGAATGCAAAGCATTTGTGCCTTCACAGTTTAACGGTACCACCTTCATTCTTTGGATTGAGTGGCTGGTAGGCCTGTGCTGGATTTTTTTTTTTTTTTTTCCCTACTTCCTGTGACTTTGTTCATTCCAAAGCTGCCCTGTCTCTCCCCCAGGTATAACTCTTCTGCTGGAGGTGGACCCTAACAGCCCTGCATTCCTGCCCGTGCTAATTGTAGTCGTTTCACCCTATCACCGTCTTCACCCCTACCAGATCGTGTACAGGGGAGTCCAGTGGCTTCAGTCCGGGGCTTTGCCCTCTTATCAAGCTGGGAGCTGAGTGCAGTGGGATTGAGGAGAGGCAGGAATTCTAATTCAGTGGCAGGCATTTATGGAGCATTTACTGTGTGCCATTCCTGTGCTCGGCCTGTTTTCATATGTCATGTAGCTTTAAAAAGCTGTGCTCTGGGTCTTATCTTCCCTCCTTTTCAGATAAGAAGTCACAGGCTCTGTTTTAATTATTTACTAATTCCACAAAACATTATTATACACCTCCTGTGCATCAGGCACGGTGCCAGGTATTGGGTTTACAGTGATAGATGCTATTTTTGTCCATATAGAGCTTACAGTCAGTGGTGACACCATGGTGTCATGTATAACCTTCCTCAGCACCCTCATTTATTTCTGTATGCAATTGACCTTTCTCACCCTTATATCAAATAGGAAGCACTGGAACCAAGCCCCCCAATACAAGTAAATGACCTGCCCCTACCTATAAGGAAACTCTGGAACTGCTACTGTTTATATAGTCAGGAGGGGAGAGAGATGTTAAACAAATAATGATTTATTTGTTTCCAAGAATGATTTAATTACAGTTAACATCAGTGGTGCATTAGAGAGTACAGGAGAGCAAAGGAGGGGCCACAGCCTGGGGGCCCTGGAGAAGTTTCCCTGCATTTCGCATCTGCAGAATGCAGACTCAGCCAGGCAAAGGGGTGGCAGAAGGAACCTTGGGGAGTGCAAGTGCAAGCGAAGATGGCCAGGGCGATGTGTCACACCCGAGGTTAGAACTCTGTTCTGGCAGTAGCCCCTAGGCTTTCTGGCTTTCAGCTTTGGAGCCTGGAGAACTTGAAAGACAGATGTACAAACACTGACCGCAGACTGCTGGGGTTCAATCTCACCTTTACAAGCTCCACAGCCTTGGACAAGTTACCCAAACTGAATGTGCCTCAGTTTCCTCCTCTGTCATATGAAAACTAATAGTAGTACTTAGCAAAAAGGTCTGAGTGGACCTTGAATGGAATAATGCACATTAAAGCCCTTGGAACAGCGTCTAGGTGCTGAATACACGTTTCGATGATTATTCAACATACCCAACCATTTTGATGAACGGGAATAAGTTAGAATTTTAAGAGAAGCCTATTTATCTGTGTGCGTCAAAACTTCAGAAAGCGGAAAACACTCTCAAATGCAAACAAAGTTTTCTTTATCAAGAAATAGTTCAAAACAGTCATACTGTGCTGTCATTGATGCTTTAACTAGTACAGTTTTTGCAGGATAAAAGTTATATTTTTAACGGTGTGACTGGGTATCTTAAATAGTTCACCAAAGAGTTGATTTTAGATGCTTGGATTTCAGTGGTAGCAGAGATAGTGTGATATAAAGCTGGGAATGATGATTCTCTTGTATCAGTATTGGGAGGGGCGGTTGTTAAACGCTTGGTGACTTTACATAATTCTTAATCTCTTCAGATCTCTATTGTAAAAAGGGCGCTAGTCATAGTATCTGCTTCAGGGGATTATCATGAGCCCTAAAGGGCAAGATATTTTTCAAGTAATCTAGCTGAGAGCCAAGTGCACAGCAAGTTTTGAGGTCCCTCTAATTGCTCTGTGTAATAGGGAAATTTTGAAGATTTTAGTTTGGTTATAATAATACAGGTCACGAGCTT